GAAAATTTAAGAAAAAAATAGGTGGAAAGAATTTCGAGAGAGGCTTAGAGAAAATTTAAGTTTCTTATTGGGTTTTTGAAAAAAAAATTATGGGGTTTCTATAGGGAAAACAAGCTATTTAGGTCATTAGTTATTTTTAGGTTTTTGAAAGAAAGCATTCCCATCTCTCGAAGCGAGAATCATCAACTACTAGTCGTTTCCTTTAGGCTCCATCGATCGGACATCCAAGTAAGAATTTTTAATTCATTCACTAATTTGTAGCTTCAATTAATGTCAATTGATCTAAGAAAACAAATGATGATAGTGATTTCATCACTATCATCATGTAAACCTCCCACTATCCCGAATTTCCTTTGCGTCCGTTTAAGTTTATGAAGAGAATGAGAGAAAATGGTATTAATGGCTTGAAATGATTCAATTTAGGAGTTAGTCTATTTAATTTTGGGTTTGAATAGACATGATGACTAGATTGAGAAAAGAGGTAAAACTTAGGGTTTCGGTTTGAGAGGAAAAAGAAAAGATCAAAAGACTTTCTAGGTGATAGGTTTAAAACGGGGAGAAGAGATGGCATAGCATTTCTTTATTTAAGGAAAGAGAAGAGATTGTTTCATCTTGATGAGGAATTCAAAAGAACTGGGTTGAAAAAGAAATAAAGAGGGGAGGAAAATAAATGGCTTGAGAGTTTGATAGTTTTGATATTTTTTAGGACTCGACTGTTGAAGAAATATAGGAATGAAAAGATAAGCTTAACCAAGCTTGAATGGAGGAAGAAATGAGCCAAACTTAACCCAACCAATGTGAGTAAAGTGGGTTGGGTTTAGCCTAGCCTAAGCTCATGTGGAGGAGAAAGGTCGGCTCGTCTAGCAAGAATGGGTCAAAAACCCAATAGGCCCAATAACCTTAATTTTAACCATTTTTCTAAGTAAATTAATTCTGAAATTTTAATACATACTTTTTATTTTTACGCCTAGTTTATATATATATATATATATATATATATATATATATATTTGAATTTTTAAGTTCTTTATGCCTATTTATTTATTGGCTTAATGTTTCAAAAAATCATAAATTATACACGTTTTAATAATTTTAACTTGTTTTTTAAAAATTGCATAAAAAAGTCACCAACTAAGCCTCTAATAATAATATTAGCACCGATCCGATTTTTCAACTAAAATTTCACACAACGTCGACATAGTAAGTGATAAAGTATGACATCTAGACTTTATATACCATATAAGTTCCACGTAAGTAGTGACCTAAAAAATCATTTATAAATTTTAAAAGACATGCCATTCCTTAAATATTCTAATTACAATAAAATCCCTAATTCCTAATTCAAATTAACCATTTCTTCTTCATTTTAATTTTCCACACTACCAAATCACAACTATCGTTAACTAACAAACTAGAAACAAAAAAAAAAAAAAAGGAAAATAAGAAATAGGGAAGAAATTTCTGATTTTGAAAAAAAAAAGGAGTTGTTGATAGAATGACGCCATAATTAAAGGAAATTTACCCCCCACTATAATAATGTTCCAAGCCATGGGCAAAGAAATCTAAAGAAACAAGTACAATTTATCCCTCTTTTTCATCTTCTGACCTTCCCGTTTCTTCTTTCTTCACTAATTCTCTCTTTGAAACTCATTCCTTTTTGTAAATAGTGAAAACTAAACACGTTTTTTTTCTCCAGCTTACACCCTTCTTTTCTCTCATTTTTTTTTTATTGATTTCTCTACTTTGTGTTTCCTTTGTTTTACCATCTTATTGCAAACATATATATTTAATAATGGCAATTCAAGTAAATAAATACCAAGCAAAGAATCGACAGACCTTGATTATTGTTGTAGTTGAAGAAGCCGATGACTCGAGCTGGGGATTCGAACATTGTTGGAGATCCGGGTTTGGGTTAAGAAGGGTGTGAATCTCATCATCATCGAGGTCATAATCGAGATTGAGTGATTGATCGATTGCTTCAAAACCCTTTTCGAGGCATGGCTTGCAAGCGATCTCTATGGCTATCCAACCCAAAACCACTCCTACTATTGCTATCAATGCGTTTGTCATAGTAGCCATCGATCTTCACTCCTCCTCTCCACCCAAAATTCAATTTTGAGACTTAGAAAAGGAGGATTTGTTTCTAAATTTTAACTCATAATATTAATTTTAGTATAACTAATAATCAAGTTATATTTCATTCTAGTTATGAAAATAAATTATTAGGAAATGCATTCTAGCTTTTCAATACCTCAAACTTTAAAGTATTGGTAAAATTAAAAGAAAGAGCTCATAGACGTGTTATGGAAAATTAAAATGAAGAACAAAGGGTTAGGGTTAATTTGAATTGGGGATTAGGAATTTTGTTGTAATTGAGGTATATAAGGGATGGCATGCCTTTTCATATTTATAATTGATTTTCCACATCACTACTTATGTAGATCCTACGTGGCACATTAAGTTCAAATGTCATGCTTCGTCACTTGATATGTCGAGTATTACTCGAAATTCGATCCAAAAATCGGATCGGTGTTAGTATTGTTATCGAAGGCTTAGTTAGTGACCTTTCTATGCAATTTTAAAGAACAAGTTAAAATCATTAAAACGTGAATAGTTCATAATTTTCTAGAATATTAAGCCTTATTTATTTAGTTTAATGCTTATTTTTTAATTTTCTTTCAATAATTAAATGAGATAATTAATAGCTGAACGAGTCATCGAGTCTTTTAATTTTTAAGGACTCGATTACAATTCCCCACTAACTAGAAAATATTAAAAAATGAAAAAAAATAATAAAATGATAAAAATGAAAATAAAAAAATGAAAATGATAAAAAAAGATGATAAAAAAAATAGAAAACTCTATGTGAAAATTAACAAAGTCTCATATCTTATAGGAACTGATGTTAACTCAAATCAATCACATTTTAGTAATTAGGTCATTTTTTTAACATACTGGTTATGTGGAGACTTAAACTAGATCCGATGTTGAATTGACAAGACTCCTAACATCAAAGTTTAACAATCGATACAATATGATACCATAAACCAAACCAAAATCAATTGGCTTGGTAAATAAAACTTGGAATTGTGATTTAGGGTTACTTTTGGCAAAAATAGAATTTTTTTAGAGATAAACTTTAAGAATAAACTAGACATAGTATGTTTTCTAAAAAAATATGTTTTTGGATGATTGATATTTTTTCAAAGTTATAACCAAATCTTTATTTTAGAATCTCTTAATCAGTATCTATTTTAAGTTTTTAAATCAAACAAATAAAATTTTTTAATAAATAATTATAAAATTTTGAAAATCCTATTGAACGTCGAGTAACGACATTACCTTTAACGTAAATGGATGTTTTAACCTTATATATGAATGGCTAACCTAAATGTGACTTCCTACATTAGATTAATTATCATACCATAATAGATGTATCTAAAGAGGTGCCATGAGCACTCCCTAGGGAAAAAAATACTACAGAAATTTTACCATCTCCAACTAAATATATGTACAAATAAATCATTTTGGTGAGTTTTTTTTTTTTTTTTTGGCTGATTTATTACTCTAACTTTATTTTGGGCCTTTTGAAAATATAGATGTTAATATGTGAATATGGAGAAAACAATATCTGTGGTATTATTAAAATTAATAAATTTATTTTGGTTTTTTTTTTTTTTTTTTTGTACCAAACATGTGTGTACCTTTTATTTTCAATTAATAGTTAATACATCTTACTTAGTGTTCACTCATGAGAAATTCATGGATGTAGCTACTTAATTTCTATCTCTTCAAGACTCCAACACGAAGGCAACACCGGGTATACACAGTTTACCCACACTCCATGGTCAAGACCTCAACAAACCAAAACGAACTTTGCTAGTCGAAGTACAACCCTGGTCTTATACTCTGTCCTGGTACTTGAGTACAGCCGTCACTGTCAGTTATCAGCTGTACTCATTTATTTACGTTAAAAGATTTTTTTTTCACATAAAAAAATATTAATTACTATATTAAATCAGCACTTTTTATTAATCTTTTAAAAAATTATATTTGAATAATTGCTTACAAAATACATTTTCATTATGATTACTATAAGTATTTTAAAAAAATATATCACTTAAAAATTTCTTTAAATAAATATAAATAAATAAATATTCTTTATTAATAGATAGAGTATATTCGTATGTAATTTATAGCATTTATAACTGTCATATTCACTTGATTTGACCGAATTAGGTGACTTTTATTTTTTTTATTTAAATTTCTAATAATTTTATAAAATAACATTCTAATAAATCAATGTAAAAAACATTACATGTCTAATAATCTTATTTTTGAACTGATTTTTTTTTAAGAAATGATTAAAAAAAAAGCATTACATCTTAAATGGCTCATACTAAACGAATTGATTAAATACAAAGATTAATCAAGACTTAAATTAACGTAAAAAGCCTAATTAGTCAATATCTTCTGGTACAACTTATGAGTACGGTGTTAATAGTTAACCCACAACAGACCTCGCAGGCCATAGGCGGACAACAAGAAAATAAAAACAGTAAACAGAAAACAAGAAAATGGACACGTGGAGCTCATGTAGCCAAACAAGCTGTCAAAACTTTTAACACGTGCCGTTTTCTAAAAAGGTTTCTTCATCATCTGGAGACACGACCCCACTTTTGACACACGTGCTAAACACTTTATCTGCTCAGCTAAGTAAACTGCGAGCCATGAAGACTAGTCAAAGTGAAAAGGGCGCAATCAAAGTTCTTTGCTGTTCGTCTATCTCGTGCCGACATGTCCTGGTCCAGAACACCCTATACCCAGTACTCCGTGTTCGTCTCCCAGCCCGCAATCTCCTTTTCCTTGCTGCTAAAAGAGCAAACCAAAATCAACACAACACACTCTCTCACAAGTCATCACAAACACTTCATTCATCATCCGTACCCAAAAGTTCAAACTAACCCATAAATCCTATACGCATCAGTAAATTTTTAAAAATGGTCACGGCAGGATCAAATTCCTCGCCAATTGACAAGCAAGAATCGTCTTTGTCATCTTTATTATCATGCAGTAGTAGTTCTCAACAAGGTTCATCCAATTCGGACGAGGAAGTAATTTTACTAGCAACAAGTCGTCCTAAAAAACGTGCAGGGCGGAGAATATTCAAAGAGACTCGTCATCCTATTTTTAGAGGTGTTAGAAAGAGGAATGGCGATAAATGGGTGTGCGAATTGCGCGAACCAAATAAGAAGTCACGTATTTGGCTAGGCACGTATCCTACACCCGAAATGGCAGCAAGGGCACATGATGTAGCTGCGTTGGCACTTAGAGGAAAATCAGCGTGCTTCAATTTTGCGGACTCGGCATGGAGGTTGCCAGTGCCAATTTCAAATGAGGCTAAGGACATTAGGAGGGCAGCACGTGAGGCAGCAGAGCTGTTTAGGCCTTCAGAACTTGGTGATCAAACGAGGGAAAATTTTTGCGGTGAAGTTTGTAGCAGTAATGATGACATAAAAAATCTGCCATCTGAAGACGTGGGGTATATGGACGAAGAGGCAGAATTTAACATGCCATTGTTGCTTGCTGATATGGCAGAAGGCCTTCTGCTCTCTCCTCCACATTACACGGGGGACTCTATGAATTGGGATGACAGAGAAATTGATAGTGATTGGTCCCTATGGAATTATTAGATTTGATGTGTTAAGGTTTTGTAGATTTTTCTCTTCTAGCTAGTCACAAACTGTTAATACATGCCTTCAACTCTTTTTTTCTCGTACCGTTTTGGGATGGTACAGAAATTCGTGGTCCAGTTTTCATAGAAAACGTTTGATTAGAGATCGAAATCAATGTATCAGGACAAATGCAAGAGACAGAAATCTTTTCGAACTTGTTTGTATTCTATGTTTTTAAAATGTGCATGGCATTTACATGGTTATATATATATATATATATATATACAGACAACAAGCTGGGACCCAGAACAATACACTATACGAATAATTTCTCCTATTCTAAGGGGAGGTATTCGGCAGGTTTGATAGCTATTCATTTTATCAAACATCAGAGGAAGTCTTGACTTATTGGGTAGAGTTTAATTACTCAAATATGCATCGACAGTGAAAATTAAGAACTTAATCAAGAAATTCTTAGACGAGACGCCGGAGACAGATACCATGAACTGAAAAAAAATATATTACGAACTGAAATTTTTGTTGTTGATCAACCTAGCTATGCAAATATCGTAATTCATTGAAAATTTAGCATATATGCAGTTAAGCTACAACTTACAAACAAAGCATTACCTAACTAATTATCTCCATACATATAACATCTAATTTTTCATTTAAAAAAAAGAGTTGATCAACCTAGTTACTTCTAGAGTACTTCAAGAAATTTATGAATCAACATCTGACAAAGAAATGTCAAGGCCAAAAAAGTTGGTTGTTTGATTATATATATATATAGCAATGATTGGTTTGGTAGATTCTAAATGAAGATAAGTTCTTACTTATCTCCCTGTTTAACAAAAATTTAAAAGCTTTGAAAGCTACAGATGGGTATTTAGGACAAATGAATTAGATAACATTCAAAATAGTTACGCTTAATTATAGGTCGAATATGTTGGTTTAATATGCAATAAGTTGTGCGTAATTAAACCAAGCTCTCCAAAATGTTAAATATTTTCTTTCTACAAATTATTAGTATGCTTCTTGTCCTTCGTTTCCAAGAAAGCGGAGGATAAAGGAACAGGGTTATCTTTCTTCCATTTGCCTTGTGTCTAGTTAAAATAAGAAGAAGAAAAAATAATGAAGAGTTCGTTTACATTACTATTGAGTGCTACTAAAGCCAACTGCCAAGTATAGCACTACGTACGTACTCTGTTACTTCTACAGAACAAATTTACAAATTGATCCAAAACTAGGACAGACCATAAATAAATACTAATCTAGAACTTTGCCTAATAACTCCATAATGACATATCAGAATCATTCTCCATATGATCCCAGTCAATACTATCATTCCGAACATAACGTGGAGGAGAAAGTAGAAGACCTTCTGCCATGTCTACAAGCAGCCCTGGCATGTCAAGCACTGCCTCCTCAAAGAAGACATCATTATCTGGGAAAGTTTTGCAGTCATCTCTGCAAACTTCACTTGAGTAATTCTCTATTACTGCATTGCTATTTTGTTGTCTTGCCGGATCACCACCGAACTCTTGAGGCCTATATAATTCTGCTCCCTCATTCGCTGCCCTTCTAATATCCTCGGCATCCATCGAAACTGGCACAGGCAACCTCCAAGCAGAATCAGCGAAGTTAAGGCAAGCAGATTTGCCTCTAAGTGCCAAAGCAGCAACATCATGGGCCCGTGCTGCCATTTCTGGTGTAGGATAAGTTCCTAACCATATTCGTGACTTCTTGTTGGGTTTCCGCATTTCACACACCCATTTGTTACCATTCCTCCTCCGAACACCCCTAAAAACCGGGTGGCGGGTCTCCCTGAATATTCTGCGGCCAGCGCGCTTTTTCGGACAACTTGATGCTAGCAACACTTCTTCCTCAGAGTGGAAAACTCCACGAGACGTGCTGATATCGGAAAATGAAGATGTTTCTTGCTTTTCAATGGGCATGGAATTTGATATTAATGGATGTGGATCAGAGAATTGGCAGAATTTATCCGTTCAATAAGAACTGAAGGTTTCAACTTTTGAGAGGGAATAGAATGATGGAGTCGACTTGAAATTTTTTTTTTTTTTTGGCTGCTTTTGTGGGTTTCAAAGGGGAATTGAATTCTAGGAGTTTGTTTTAGCAACAAGATTTGAAGCGAAAGGCTTCAAGGAGAATGCAGTTTTGGAGACGGTGACGAAGGAAGTGTCAAGGAAGTTGTTGCTTGAGTTTTGGAGACAGACAGCGAGATGGATGTTATATGGGCTTTGGGTTTTGAAAGGGATTTTTATTTGGGTTGGGGGGTGGTGGAGGTGGTGTGAACACGCGGATTCACTTGAGATGCTAGTTGGAGGCCCACGGTTCTCACCAGGGAAGCACTAAAGAGGAATGTGATGTCATTGGTTGTTTGACACTTTCTTTTTCCACTTTGCTGTGGCCAATTCAGTCTACTCTGAATTCTAATCCGTTTTGGAATTTCATGAATTATTTTTATTTTTTATTTTAAGAGAACAAAATAAGATTTTTTTTTTTCACAATTACAGTAAAATACCTAATCATTTCTTTATTTCTGCCGATAACTTCTAGTAAAACACCGAACGGCATATAAGATAAAGCATTCGCTATCTATTTTAAGCACGTGTCCTTTTAAAATAACACGTGGATATTTTTGAATGTTTGGTTTGCGGCGGCACGTTCCTTCACTCCTCATGATCGGCTACTTCTGCTTCTATTTTAACTAAATGAAGAACAAAAATATATAAATCTGGTTACTATATTTAGGGTCCGCCGAGCACTGAGAATGCTGATTGCAAAAATTCTATTTAGTTAATTATATATATATAGAGAGAGAGAGAGAGAGAATCTAAAATAGTATTTCAAAGGCTTTTTAAGTATAAGTTTTAGAGCTGGGAACAAGCTGAACCATTTGATCCTTGTTTTATCAAGCAAAAATTGAACATGCTTGAAAAGCAAATAAAAAAGCTAGATTAAAAGTTAAGGCCAAGGGGAGATTATTAAGAGGACTGAACCACGTGGCCTCTCTACTTTAAGCCACATATGTATAACTAATTATCTTATCTTAGTTAGTTAGCCTTAATTAATTCAATTAGTGTTAAGTCGTATAGTTAGTTTTTTTTCCTTGTTTTTTTAATCTAACTTTAAAGATCATTATGTAGTTCCATTTTAAAATTATATTATTGGTGAATCTATTATCCCCACTCTGCAAAACAAACACACACCCGCATATATATACACTATTCGTTAAAGACCTTTTTTGGCTAGCTTTTTTTTTCTTAAATAATCTTAAGGATTGTATAAATCGATTGGGATGCTGAATCCCAAATTTAAATCTGATGCTAGTTCCAATATTTAAATTAAAATAGGGCAGTCTTGAGAGGGTGAGGAATCGGGTTTCTCATCAATTTGAAACTAAGTCCATCATTACCTAAATTAAGCCGACATCGAATATGGTTAATTATCTTATGATTGACCACTAGACTTCATCTCAAATCAAATAAGCCCAAATTTGATATTACAAAAAAAAATAAATATGAGTAGTTATTTATGGATGGTGAAAATTAAACTTTTGTCTTGATCAAATTAAGGCAGCTCCCTTATCGTTGGACCACATCCTTTGATGACCAATCTTAAGGTTAAATATAAGTTTATTTATGTAGTCAAAGAAGAAATCAAATCTTTTTAATTGCTATGTCGATTTTTTGAAGTTATAACTTAGTTTACTAATAATCTCTTCATCTCAAATAGTATCTGCCTTTTTTATTTTAATATGGATATTGTTTACGAGTTATAGCATGTAAAAAAAAAATTAAAAATGATGCTTAAATTAAAATTTAAACCTTTATCAATTTGTTAGTAATAAATAAAGCTCCAATCAATCATCAATGAATGTGATCTAGCGATAAAAAAAATTATTTTTATTTGGCCAATATCAAGATTTAATATTCACTATTCATGAATAATTGGTCATGATTAATCTTTAATAGTACCGGGCTTGAGCTCATTTGATCTAACGAGAGCTCAATGATTGACCAAGGGCTAAACATGTTCTAATGCTGGCTTAACTTAGAAAATGGTGAACTTAGTTTCAGTTGATGTGCAATATAACACCCAAAAATTTTTTTTTCATATTATGCGAGTATATGCTTTATGGATATGTCTTGATTTCATTCTTGTTTTATACATGTGATTGATACCTTTTAATTATTTTTAATAAATTTATTAAGTGAGATGGATCAAAGTAATGGGAATTTTGAGTCTTAAATGAAAGTGTAAAAGTAAAGATAAAGTAGGTTTTTTAGGTGAACTAATTAAATAAAAAAAAAAGATTTGACATCCTATATTTAAGAAAAAACAGGATAGCCTCATTTCTCTTCATTTCCTCCATTTTCTCTTTTTCCCTTCTTCTTCATTTCTCACCCTTAGAATTCCTTTTACTTTCTCCAATTTCTTCTTTCATTTTTTATGCTAAAATATTGCTCAAATACTCTAGAACACCACAAAAACAAGATGATTAAAGTGATATTAAGTTAGATTAAAAACTTGGGAGGCTTGGAGGGTTATAGGATTGAAGCTAAAGTTGAAGACCTAATTGAAAAATATGAGATTTTTGTCATTTAATCTTAAAATTAAGATGTTTATATACGTTTATTGATTGTTTTGGAGTTAATATTTATTGGGTTTATTGTTTGATTAAAAATTGAGATAGTTAGGGTTAGGATTTGATTTGAATTTGAGGGTTTGGTGATTAAACACTTATTTATGCTAATTGATACTTAAAATGAGGTAATGGTGATACGAAATTGATTATTAGACTATGAGTTTGAGAAATCCCTAAGTTGGTTGAGATTATGCATTGTAGAGGCAAGTTGTGTGAGGATTGAATTGAAAAAAATAACGATTTAAGTGATTTTAATTTGTTAGATTACGATTAATTATCTTGAGTTAATGATTTATGAGGTTAATTTGAAGTTTAATTGGTTAAATTATATTGTTTGAATTATTTCAGGTTAAATGGATTAAATTAGGATTTTGTATATATAGGATTTTATATGAATTATTTTAGAAATTTATAAAAGTGTTTTTAATGATGATAAAAATAATTTTTGGAAAAGTTGAAGATGAAGAAGAGTGAAATATGAATTTTGAGATTTATTGATTAATTGTCAAGTAAAGAGTATATTTATGAGTTTATTGTTTTAAGTAGAAGATTTATTATGAATTTTTTAACGATAGAAATTAAATTGCTTGAAAAAGATAATTGTTGAATTGCAAAGGAACCAAAATAAGTATGGTTCAACTCACCATAGTGACTTCATGTTTTTATTGTGTTATTATTTGTGAATATGATTATATGATTAAAGGTGTTATGTGATGGAATGTATACATGATTAAATATACTATGTGAAGATATGAGTGTATGAATATGATCATGTGATTAAAGGAGTTATGTGATGGAATGTATAGGTGATTAAATATACTACGTGAAGGTATGAGTGTGTGAATATTATCATGTGATTAAAGATATTATGTAATGGAATGTATATGTGATTGACTATACTATATGAAGGTACAAGTTCATAGCATCTTTTCATGTGCATTTGCATCATGTAAATCAATTCACATATTTTATGAAATGCAATGAAATCATGTTATGCATTAAAGGCAAAGGGTTTTGATTTTAATGCAAAATATATTGATAAAAGTACAGGAAATTGATAGAAAAATTGATAATGGCCCTACTAATATCATATGATTTTAATAAAGGGTATTAGTAGGAAAATTGATAATGGTCCTACTAATATCATATGATTTTATAAAAAATATTGCTAGGAGAATCGATAATGGACCTACTAATATCATATGATTTTGACGAAGGATATTAGTTAAGAAATTGATAATGGTCTTGCCAATATCATATGTTTCGATAAAGGATGTTGGTAAGAAAATCAATATGGCCTTACTAACGATGCATGATTTATGGCATAGTTTGATGAAAGCATTGTTTTATCCATTATTAAGAAAAACGAATTTATATGCACCATGAAAGTTCATGAAATGTCATGGATAGTCATGTTTGTTGGGCACTAGCTTATGTTTATCTTGTGGTGTAGGTAATGATGTAAATTTTGGAGATGTTTATGCTTGCTCCTAGTGTCTAATGACTCATGTGTTTGTCTTGAGTGTTCTTAAATGAATGAAGAATGAATTATGATTTAATGAGTAAATATAAGTTTATGTATGAATGCTTTTATGAATACTAATTGCAAGAAAGTTAAGTTTTTGAATATTGAAATTTATTGCTAGTAACTAAGTATGAATAGTAGGTTGAATTTATTTATGAATGTTGAATGATGATAATTTTTTTAGAATTTAACGATGAATTATAGTAATGGTGTTGAGATGGAGTATGCATAAAATTTTATAGAAATATTTTCGCTATATTAATAAAATAATAAATTGAGTATATTATTGATATGAGGTTTTAGTTGATATTTTTTTTAATAATGAATGAGATTAAATTAGATAATGAAAAGATATAGATTTTAGTAGCGATTCGTCTTGCCGTAACCTTTCAAGTAAGGTATCTCGGGTGATAGACGTTACATGAAAGTTGACCTAAAATACCTCAATATCCGTAAATGTCAAGAAGATACCCCACAACATATATATATATATATATATATATATATATATATATATATATATATATATATATATATATATATATATGTTGTGTTAATTCTACCAATTTAGTAGATATTTTATTTTAATTTAAGAATAATGTTGAAATATAATTTCAAAACGAGATGACATGGCATGTTATTAATTAAGTCTTTAATTTATATGAAAAAATAAATGGAACTATATGTACTGTTATTCATCACTTGAAAAGATAAAAAAAGTTACTATTCAAACCAATAAACTAAATTTTCATGAATATCAA